TGTAACCGAAATAATGTATATAAATATTAAATAACTATATTTAATCAAATAACCCAAAACCCATATCATCTTCATCCTCAGTAATATCTATAATGATTGGTATAACATCTTTTGCTTTCGATAAAGCTTCTTCTGTTAATCTGCTAACAGCATCAAAACATAATTCTTTCAATTTTCCAGTTCTAACAGCATAATTAACTATAAAGTTTAATGTTTCATTATTTAAATCACTCAAATGAATAGTTAATTTCGACAAAGAAGCTTTAAGTTCTTTAAGAAATTCATTGAAATGTTCTTGATTAATTGCCAAATTAAAATTCAGTTCTTCAAGAGTATTAGGAATCGTTCTTGCAAATTCTAAAACCATTTCTTTGGTAAGTTGAATATCATTTATTTGTTTTTCCACATCCAAGTATTTAAGTTTTTTTAATTTTGAAAGAGCCTTTAAAAAGTGTTCGAATGTTGTGTAATCAGTCATTATTGATAAGGATGTAAGGTTGGGACAATATTCTCCAATTGCATTTTTGAAGGTTTCATCACAAACTTTAATAGATATCCTTTCTAGATTCGATCCCGACATTTTAACAATTAGGGAAAAGGATGGATAGAGCATAGGATAATGAGTTCCAGAAATAATTAGATTTTTGATTCGAAATTGGGTCCCTGATGGTAAAAATGGTAGAAAACTTGGCTCAAATTGTGAAGGTACATAATAAAAAATAAGATTCAGTGTTTCTAAATTAAAAGATGGTAAGTAAGGAATTAAAAGAGGGATATCAAAGAATTTGATTATTTCTAGATATCTTAAAGAATCAACTTGACTTGAAAGAGCAGGAAAAAATAAAGGAGATTGTGAATTTGGACTATAAGGAAAAGTAATAGTGAACGATTGAAGTTTATACTGAGAATTAATCAACAAAGATAAATATTCGAATACTTCTAGTTTATGAGCTGGATCACCATTCTGGTTTAATATAATAATAAGTTTTTGGATATTATGAGAATATAAAGATAATTTCTCAAAAAGTAATAAAATAATTGGTATATTTTGTGCTGTTATTGGAAACCAATTTTCAATATGCAACTCGGTTAATTTCGAAAAAGTACGACAAATTCCTTCCTCACATGTATCTGGGAGAGAGCGCATAATACATTTTCCTTCATTACCATGGGGACTTAGGAATAATGAATATAAACCAACAGAATGGCTTAATATATATTGACTAATTATTTGACTGCAAATGTGCAATGCGTTTTGAAATTCTGTATTATCAGTATCAGGTTTAATGGTCGCCTTGCACCAATAATATAATGCATTATCAAAATAACAGCAACTCAAAAACCTTAGATACTTTGGATAGTCAAACAGAGCTGGTATGAGGTCTTCTTGAAGGGTTATATTGTTGTTTATCAAAATCTGTTTTTGAATTTTTGAGAGACATTTTACATAGGTGGGAATAACTTTTGTTTTTTTATCAGATGGGATGTTACTGCTAAAGACATCACTCCATAATAAAGGAATAACGGATCTACACCATGATCGATTGACTAAAGCGCAAGAAAAAAGCGCCTTATAATCCCCAGGCAAGTGATAAATAATCTCCCTAACACAATCCGGAGGAAGTCGAAAAGGAATAATTGGTGAATCCATTAATAAGACTTATATGTACAGTATTTTCAAATTATATATACAATAGTTTCTTTTTTGAGTTTATTACTTTGATTTACGTGCGTAAGTCAGATTTGACGTATTTATAAGAAAAGAATCAGAGGGATGAAGATGATATGGGTTTTGGGTTATTTGATTAAATATAGTTATTTAATATTTATATACATTATTTCGGTTACA